GTTTGCTAGCATCTCCACCCGATCTGCAACTGTGACATAAGTGGTTTTAGGATGGGGATATTTATAGTGCCAAGGGTCCAGCTGTCATGGGAAGTTCGTTTGCTTGAAGGAAGTGGGACACTCTGTCAGAACTCTGGGATTGAGAGATTATTTATTTGTTTTTATGGCTGGTCCTAACAGACAGGTTGCTGGGAAATCCTGATGTTTTTACATACCCACAACTTTAAACTCAAGTGCCACCTTATGAAGTTTGGATGGGCTGCATTGAAGAGCTCATACTTTTATTTATATATTTTTTTAATAGCTAATAGGATTTAATTGTCAAATCATGATTTGCTACTTGTTAGAAAGTGGAAAGGGTTGTTAAAATGTGTCATTTCTGTGCCAATTAAATATATATAAATAATACAAATAATTATAATAAAACAAAAATTGTGTTATGGGTTTGTGCAATTATCAAATCATAAAGGATGCATTTTAATTAATACATATATGTGGGAAAGTGTTTCAGAGTGAATCTGCCAATCAAATCAGATAACTCCGCCTTCCAAACACCACCTAAAACAAAACACAATGTGGTTGGTCATTTTAGATCAGATGTTTCTTTTTCTTGTCTAGTTGGGCAGTTCTTAGCTAGTGAAAGCTGCAAATTTGGACCGACATTAGTGATAAAGCCCGGCTACTCAAGACTCTAGAAAGGTCAACAATAGCGTCTGGAATGCGGGGTATGCTGCGATGCCCCGTTATGTTCAAGAGCTCTATTAATAACATGAACACACCACTGTTTCACCCTCTCACTCTCCCTCACTTCTCTTTCAATTCTCACGCCTTCATGGAAAAATCCAAAATACAACCGAGGATTGTTCTCAACACCCATTCACCATATTTTACAGACAAATCTCCTTTCGCAGAGAGGCTAACGACATCGGTTTGATATCTGAAAAGACGTCTCATATGCTGTGAATTATGTTTCAGTCCTGCTGAATGGCCGCATTGTCCCCAGAGATGGATAAATAGCTTTCTTAATCATCCAGAGTGGCAACTTTTCATGTTCATTGTCATGCCCAATGAGGCGTGACAGCGTAACATTCTGTTAGAGGCCATAAAAATGTGGGGTCACTGCCAACCCCTCCCAGAGAGACAGAGGGGTCAGTCTCCTCTCGGCACTGCTGTGTGAGCCGTGCCTCATGGGCCTTACGTTACCCCTCCGGTCCCGGCATCTATCTGTGCCCCTGGGAACGCTTCCAAACAATACACTCCCTTCAGCCCGGGGACGATTCGGAGGGGCCGGCTCAGAGTTTTATCCTTTAATACAGGGTGAAGCGCTTGTCATTCTTGTGTGGAATCCTTGCTCTCTCACTCTTTCGCTTTCTCCTTCCCCCTCTGTCTCTATGACTGGTCTGTGAAGAGGAGACTCTCTGCATTGTGTTGGCCTTAACTGTCATTGGTGTTAAATCAACACCACCTGCACATCTATTCTAGAGAAGATTTAAAGCAGTCGGCCTAACGAGCCTCTATTATTCAGGTTGCTGTTCGCTAACTGTGGAGGTTGAGCTCTTTTTGAGACTTTTTGTCTGTGCTGCTTTTCATGCCTAAATGCTCAACAGGACCTCTTGGAACACACCTCCAAAATCTGGTAATAGGTCAGCTTGGGGCACTTTTGTTTGTTTGGTTTGGTTAATAGCAGTTCTATTGGGGTTAAGTCATTCTCTGTTAACTTGGGTGAAATTTTGTGAATTAATTGGATGTCGGTATGTCTTTATTAGGTCCATGTGATTTCTGTGATGTGGAAAAAGCGGATTGAATCATGGAATCCAGTCATAAAAATGGAATTTGTTGTATAACGCTGCCGCCTCAATATATGAGTGCATGAACACATTAACATAGACTCTAGAACTTCCCTGAGATTCACTTTATGAGCATTTTACCATTTCTTTTGAGCAAATCTACCATCATATCATATACAAACAGAAACCGAAAGGCCTTCACATCGACCCGTCAAAATAAAAGTTTGGTTTAACTTGAAGAAACTGTGACAGAAATATATTACTTAATGTAATGATAGTACTACTACTACTACTGCTAAAATGATTATTAAAACAGAATATTTACCAGAAAAATTATTTACCAGAATTTATTTATTAGAAAAATGTAAATAGATAACACAGCCTAACACATAACAAAAAATAAAACAATAATAAATATTTTTTATTAGAAAAAAAATTATGGAAAATTAATGGAAAACACAGAATCTGGTAAAAATAAAACTGAATTTGAGGGAAAAAAAAAACATATTTCATAGGACCTTTAAATTTAATTACTGTTAAAATTTTAATAAAAGTGCCCCTATTATGCCATTTCCAATATTGCCTTTCATGCAGTGTGTAGTGTAGCTGTATGTGAATGTAAACGATCTGCAAAGTTGTAAAGCTGAAAGTGCACGATAAATAAAGTTATTGTCTCCCAAAATAAAGATAAGTCGAATCCCCCTTCCGTGACGGCTACACGTCACGGGGTAACACATTTGCATAATGCGCGCCTATGTTCTACACGTTGGCCGGCCGCGAACTTGACCGCACCCACAAACACGTCATTCTACTGACGTCTGCTTCTCTAATCTCGGGGAGTTCAACGCGGAAAGATGGATCAGTATCCTGTATATTTGTACCAACTGCTCCACTGAATCACAACCTGTAAGTATGATAAATAATAGATTTTTATACTTTCTATAGAGCGTTCAAAATACAGAACTGTTGAAATAGGCGTATCGTTTCCGACACGCGCTGTACGCCGTAGACCAATCACAACAGACTAGGCCATCTGACTAATCAGAGCAGAGCAAGCTCACGGAAAGGAGGGGTTTAGAGAGACTGAATCTTTGAACTGCTTCGAACGAATCGTTTGAGAATTGCTGGAAAATGAGGTGATATTAAATGCATATTTTGAGAAAACAAAAGCGTTATTTGACCTTGCATGCATGTAATCCTGTTGTAGGAGACTCCCAAAACAATATTAGGAACCGTAAAAATGGCATAATAGGGGCACTTTAATAAATTGCTGTTAAATTGTGTAAGTTTCATGATTTCAATTAATTAGACATGCTTTTTGATTAACATTTTTAATTTAACCATTAATACAAAAACAGAATCCAGAAAAATTAAAATGGAATTTGGAAAAAAAAAATAGAATGGATTTTGGAAAAAAATAAAATGGATTTCGTAGAGCCTTACTTTATATAGGGCTTGGCAAAAGCACACAGTCGGTTAGCTTTAGCATGTTGTCGCTAACAAGCCTGTCATTAGTTGCCAACTTTGGTTGTTGTTTAGTTGTTGCAGTCTATTTTGGTGCTTGAAACCTTTTCTTACAAATTTTACACTTAATGAAATACTTTCTACAAATTATGTTTTAAATGCTGTACTATATGTTTCAAATTCGGCACATTCATATGAGCTGACTCAGGTCGTATCAGTGGGATAGAAACATTCTACCTAAGGGTGGTCTTCTCTCTGGGTGGCCACCATGCTGAGATCACATGACCAGCTGAATACTTCTCACTTCTTATGACTCTTGTGTGCCCTTATTTTTTAGTGAGTCAAAACATACAGCATGACCAATAGAGTCTGATTCCTTAACTAGTGACTCTTATGATCCGGTTCTTTTTAGTGGATCATAAACATACTGCATACGCTTAAATAACTGGCTCATAAGAGTGATCAGGAATCAGACTTTACCAAGCAAATGAATTTCATGAGCTGGTTGTTTTTAGTTAATCATAAGCATACAGCATGGCCACTAAAATAAGTGTCTTTTAAGAGTCTTTTCTTTTGATTGAGAATAAGACATGTGACAAATGACAAATGACTCTTCTTTTCAGTAAATAGGCTACATGCAGTACTATCATGCAGTACCGAATACCACCACGTTCAAGGCCCATAAAGTTAGTAAGGACATCGTTAAAATAGTTCATGTGACATCAGTGGTTCAACCTAAATGTTATGAAGCTACAAGAATACTTTTTGTGCACAAAGAAAACAAAAATAACAACTTTATTCAACAATTTCTTCTCTTCTGTGTCAGTCTTCACTGCAGATTCACAAGAGTACCACTGATGTCACATTCAATATTGAAATTATCCCAGTATTTCTGTTGTTCAAATGCTTCCTCAATTTCAAAAGAATCGTTAATGGAACCATTACAGAACAAGAATCTTTAAAAGGAATCTGAACCTGGATTGTTTGATTCCTTTTGATTCAACCTCCCACTATTATTTTAAAATCATTCAGTACAGAAAATACAGTTTCAAAGTTGGTAGATTATACTCCAGAGTTGCTGCATAGTCATTACTGGTTAATCATTTATCACACAGATCATTTTTTAGCAGGAAGTGGCCAAACCAAAAAGAGGTAACTGAGCAAGGCCAACATGTCATAATTAATAAGACCCTAAAATCCTCTTATTCATTGGCCTGCAGTCAGTTTTGTGAGTGTCCCTATACTGTGCATTTAAACTGTGCCCATTTATTCAATGCTGACTTGGAGAAAGAGGTCAGTAGTAGACGAGTGAATGTGGGAAATGAACGAAAGGTGCTCCACTTAGGGAAATGGAGAATCAGGGGTGATGCTGAGCCATAACACAAGTAATCAAATCACATTATTTCACTTTTTATCTTATTGATTGTTTAGGTCAGCTTGAATTGCCTCAAGAAAGCGGAGACTACTACCCTGTAATGGCTTCTTATTAATCACATCTAATTCATATAAAACATCATCGACAGTTTGCCTCCTCAGAGTACAGGATCTCTGCCAATCTGCTACTGCAGAGCAATGCATTAGGGCTTCGATGGTGACTTAGGGCCTATATCATCCAATTTCCTGTCAGGGAAGGATTGCTCAGCTCAACAGCTGTGTCTCCCATGAGCCACAATGGCATTAAGCCTCCTCTCTTCAGATTGCTCAATGCTCTGTGTAAGAGCTAATCGGCATGTTTTTCTACCCTCACAGACTGTCTCCACAGGCATGTGCTATGCCACTGGATAACCAAGAGGACAGCAGCCTCCCGAACATTATATGTCTGACAGATGGTATGTGTGCTATTTTCCCATCATATTTCTTAAATATGGGTTTTTACAGGCCTTGTCTGAAGATTGTTACCCTATGTCAAAGTGATAATTCATTTATGTAGTAGACCACTTTATTGTACAGTAGTCAACATTTGAAGTGGATCAAAACCTTTCATCAAAGTTGTCCTAAAACCTAAAACCAAAATTCATTCTTGTCTTAGGACAACTTTGATGATCTTTTTTGATCCACTTCAAATGTTGACTACTGTATAAGTATCCTCTAGTAAATGCATGGTGTTATCATGCTTTTGTACATATAACATGGTAATACTGTGGTATTCTTTTTTAAAGCACCTTATTAGTGTTATTTGGGCATTATACCAACTGAATATCTAGTTTTCAGTTTATTTATTTATTTATTGATTGCTTGATTGATTGATTGATTGATTGATTGATTGATTGATTTTAATGTACAAAAATGGTAATGCATTATTTATTGATTGATTTTTATTTTATTATTTTACATGCACCATGATAATACCATACTTTTGGAAATTTACCATGGTAACACTGGCAGTGCTTAATTTGTAAATGAAACGTTGCCGGATCCAAATCAGCAGTTAAAAGGCGTCGTGACCGACACTGACAATACAAATTCAGTTTTGACAGACAACATTCAATGACATCACTAAACGGTAATGACACAACTATAAGAGCATCGTTCACAAGTTTCTGCATGGACCTAACTATACAGCCTAGGTTTTCCAACCCTGGGTCAAAAATGGATCGCAAGGATGATTTAAGGCTTAAGGATTAAGTGTTAGTTTTTTATTATTATTATTATTTTGACACTTTGCAGGTTGTCTTACTCTTATCTGTATGACCAAAAATGGAGTATTTAATGTGTCAGCTGTTTGATCGCGCCAGCGCCTCGCGCACACACCACATATTATAGCAATTCAAACTTGCCATCGCAGTCTGTTCATTATCAAAGTAAAATACAGCCAGCCAAATATATCAATTTAAAGAGTCCGTAGTATAACCGGTCTACAGCTGCTGTAATGCCAAGCGCATTTTTGCACATGTGAAGAGGATGATTTTTCCATCGATATGCGAACGCGCATGAAGCCTAGTCTACATTATAAATAATAGTTTAACATTGAAATACATTGCGAATATGTAAACATTGGATGTGTGCCGAATGAGAGAGGTACGTGAGCCCAACGGTACTTTCCGTTTCACTTTGTTTTGGTTTCTTTAGCATTATATATATTTTTTTCATTCTTGATCTGTTCTGCATACTAGAGGTCGACCGATAGTGGATTTTGCCGATACCGATAGCTAGGTTGGACCACACTGGCCGATACCGATTAATTAACCGATAGTTTTAAAATTGATACTGAACAAAAACTAAAATAGTGCTTTATTAACAAAAACAGTACTGAACCACTAGTAGTAGGAGTAAAAAAAAAAATAATAATAGTAATAGTAAATGTTGAAATTAACACTCTAACAAGGAACAATACTTACACAGCTTTCATTAATCTTAATGCTACAAATGGACTCTTATTTTAAAGTGTTACCATTTCATTTCAACTGTCATACTGTCAACTCGAGCAGCGGTCTAAAACAGTTTATTTAATCACCAAATGCACACAAGTTTACTTCAAGAATGAACAATTTGGTACTGCAAACACATACCAGCTTCATCACTGTGTCTGTCACGCGACTCTGTTCCCCTTTCGGGCTCTGTCTTTGCATTTATTTTGAAAGATGAAGCTCGCGATTATGGTAAGGGGCGTTACATTTCCGATGAGTGCTTGCGGTGTTCGGCCAATCACAATGCATTGGGTCAGCTGGCCAATCAGAGCAGACTGTGCTTGTCGGAAGGAGGGACTTTGTAGAAAACGAAGCGTTTGAGAGAGGCGGGGCATAGAGGACCTACAATAATGTACAGTATTTGAAAAATAATGTGTTTTTTGAACATTAAAGCATGTCAACATATTCTGTTACACCAAACACACAAAATAATGATCTTTAAAAAAGCATCATATGACCCCTTTAAGGCTATATTACCAATACCATGGTACCATGTCCAAAAAACAAGAAGACAAAAATACTACAATACTGTTTATTTATACATTTACACTTACATTGTAAATATTTATATGTATTTGATATATACACATGTATTTGATAATATTTCAAAGTACCATTTAAATGAATATGCATGATTTAAATTAATATTTTGAATGAATATGGTATAATGCAGAATATCATTCACTTTTGTGTAGAGGTCAACCGATCAGTTTTGCTGATTAATCGGCACCCATAACCAATTGCTGGAGAAGTATTGCTCATTGTTACTGTTAGATTATGTAGAACATTAACTAATACATTTTTAAATTTTACAGTTGTATCTGTTAACATTAGTTAATGCACAATGAACTAACATGAATTTATATATTTCACTTAAAAAGTACAGTATGTTTTCATGGTCCAGTCCTTTCTAATTTTGTAATAAAGTACAGCACTATTTTTCTATTATGTTGGCTTTCATTCAGTATCTAAAAACTACTGGTTGATTAATTGGTTATTGGTAAGTGTGGTCCAACCTAGTTATTGGTAAAATCCACTATCGACCTCTAGTACTTTGGTATATATCAAAATGCCAAAGTATTTCCATTTTTTTATTAAGTACTTATGTTATTTTATTTACTATATTCCTTTCTATGGGACTTATTCTTTTGCTTTGTTCATGACAGGCCCTGTCTAATGTAACTAAATAAAAAAAACCTGAAAATTATTCTTTATTATACTAATTATTATAATTGTTAGGAATTAATAATACTAATTCCTTAAATTTCATTATTCCTAACATGTCTTTGATTAGCTCTACTATGTTTGGCTCTGTTCTGTGAGCTAATACTAAGTCGTGTCACATGCGATCAGTGTTTTTGCAGTGCAGTGTGGGATGGCCCTCGTCTTGACCCTGCTTCAGTCCCTCATCCTGGGTGTTCTGGGGGTCCACAGCAGTTACCCTCGCTTCTCCTCCAATGACTCGGTCTTCCAGCACCTGGCATTGCACCCTGACCCCAGCATAGGAATGGTCTACGTGGGGGCCCGGGACCATCTGTTCCAGCTCGCTGGCCTTGATGGCCTCCGTCTTGAAGTGGATGAGAGAACCGGCCCCGTGAGAGACAGCAAGGACTGTCTGCCTCCAGTTACCCTGGAGAACTGCCCTCAGGCTGGGCTCGTTAACAATCACAACAAGCTACTGTTAGTGGATCCATATTCCCTCCAGCTCATCACCTGTGGCAGCGTACACCAGGGCACTTGCCAGAAACGCAGCCTAGCCAATGTGAACAAAGTCCTCTTCTCTGCCGAGAGACCTGTTGATACGCAATATGTGGCGGCTAACGACCCTACGGCGTCAACGGTTGGGCTCGTGGTGCGACCGCAAGACAAAGATCCTGTCCTTTATGTGGGGCGAGGCTACACCAGCAGTCACCCGCCAGTCTCCACTCGCCAACTTTCGACAGAGCCGGTGTTCTCCTATGAGGAAACCGCTAAGCTCGCTGTAGCCGGGCGCCTCTCAGAGTACGATCACAATTTTGTCGCAACCTTTGCGCGACGCAATCACGTCTACTTTTTGTTCTATAGACGCGACCTGAAAGCTGCATCGAGGGAATATCGTACGTATGTGGCACGGGTGTGTTTGGATGATCAAGCGTATTACTCCTACGTTGAGGTACCGCTAATGTGTCACTCGGGCTCAACAGGAAGGAACTACAATTTCCTCCAGGGGGCGCAGGTGGGCGGTGAGGAATCTGGAGGCTCGCAGGTTTTGATGGGAGTCTTTTCTACGGCGGTTAGTGCTGCTAATGGACCCGGTGAGGAATCTGCATTGTGTGTGTACTCTCTGGATGAAGTGGACAGCGGTATTGATGCTACACGAGATCTGTGCTACACACAATACGGAGTGAAAGATGGCTACAAGGTGGCATACATTGAGTATGACGTTAAATCCAACTGTGCCAACCTGCCTACGGTGAGTAAATGCATAGAGAGTTTTAAATATTCTTTTAAAGTTCACCCAAAAATGACAATTCTGTCATTAATTACTCACTCTCATGTCGTTCCAAACCTGTTAGACCTTCATTTATCTTCAGAACACAATTTAAGATATTTTTGGTGAAATCTGAGAGCTTTCTGACCCTGCATAGACCGCAATGAAACTACCACGTTGAAGGCCCAGAAATATAGTAAGGACATCGTTAAAATAGTTCATGTGACATCAGTGGTTCAACCTTAATTTTATGAAGCTACTAGAATACTTTTTGTGCAGAAGTCATCAGAAAACTTCACCATGACTTTATTCAACAATTTCTTCTCTTGCATGTCAGTCTCTGCTGCACATTCATGAGAGTACAACGACACATGCGTGTGATGCTGCTGACGCAGGAGCCGGCGTTCTGACGTAGAACCCGGATGTGCTGCGCCTTGTTTACAAGCAGAGGAATGCACACGTATGCTTCATGATACTCTCATGAACACGCGTTGAAGACTGACATGCAAGAGAAGAAATTGTTGAATAAAGTCGTTATTTTTGTTTTCTTTGCACACAAAAAGTATTCTCATAGCTTTATAAAATTACGGTTGAACCACTGATGTCACATGGACTATTTTAATTTAACAATGTCTTTACCACCTTTCTGGGCCTTGAACGTGTCAGTTGCATTGCTGTCTATGCAGGGTCAGAAAGCTCTCAGATTTCATCAAAAACATCTTAATTTGTGTTCTGAAGATGAACGAAGGTCTTATGGGTTTGAAATGACAAGAGGGTGAGCAATTAACGACATAATTTTCATATTTGGGTGAACTATCCCTTTAAGATGTATCCTTTAAGCTGTTCCACGTTAATGGAAATTTTTTTCAGCATGAAATGAAAATTCACGCTATCTATTTTTTAAAATGCAAGTTATAGATCTTATTGTAAAAGATTCATACATGTACAGTATATGTTTCATTAAAAAAATTATCATTTAGTTTGCTTAAACACAGACTCTGCAGGCTCACCTTCATCTGCATTCAATTTTGAGTTCACACTCCCAAATCTCACCATCTAGTCAACAGCCAACGCAAGGCCCACTGTTTTCCAGAAATATGTTTTACCTGCATTTATATCACAATACAGATGAAAAGATGTGTCACTACTTCCATTTAATCACTACTTCAATATAAAATGATTTTTACATTTTAAAAATAAATCTTTTGATGTCTATTTTGTGAAACAGATTTCTATCAATTTCTAAAATATTACAGCTGTCCCACAGTTGTGTGGACATCATTTCAAACACTGAACAGTTTTGCCCACTAACACTTTTTTTTTTTTTTTTTCCAAACATTAGTGTACTTGGTTGTACTTGGAGACAACAGGCTCATTTAAATGCTTAAGATGAAATATGACATGATGTATATGAAGAAAACAAGAAAAATCGATGTAAATATAATTGCACATTTTTAGGATACATAAAATGTTAGTTTGTATTAGAGGTGGGCAATATGATCAAAATCATATTTATTAATATGAGTAATTTTATTTCATTATAACATTGGATATCACAGTACAGTTATGCATATTTTATTTTATCTTTGTTATTAAAAAAAATATCATACCACCCATGCCTAGTCATGAAATTAGTTTTAGCAAGACAAAGGAGTCAGGAATTTTATGTTATTCCAAAATGTAATTTCCAACACATATGACACTATGTCATGTGAGACATGGTAGAAATTACATACACAATTTTCAAAAATAAATAAATAAAAAAGACAAAATTGACAGAATTCTTCTGTGATGTGATGCTTTTAGACATTGTTAGTATAGACACTGTATACCTGTTGTATGGTGTTAGGCAAAAATTGTAATCCAGTGTTAAAAGTGGCCTGAGCCTGGGCATAAATAAGCGGGTTAGAAAAACCTTGTAGAGGTTAAACTTTTGTTATTGATGCTAGAAATGTATTGGTTTTGTCACAATTGATAATGACACAGTCTTAAAGTGTTAATTTTACAGGAATATTTGATAGATGCTGTTCACTTGTACACTGTCTTCACATTGAAAGAAACATTATACTTATAAATTATCCATATAATTAGGTTTTGAGGTCAACCGTTTCCACATAATCATCATAGTAGTTTAACTTTGTTTGAAAAGCATGGGAAAATGGGGAAAGGATGCCCACAACGTAACTCTAGGGAACTGGACCGCATCATTTTCCTCCAACGGTGTATTTAAACTAACATTTATCCTAATTTAGATGCATTGCTCATCATTAATTCTCAGGCAAATTGCTTTAACTCATACGATTCTGCCTGCCATGATCTGAGTGAATTATGTTTTGAGCATTAGTCCTAACAAGATCTTAAGACAAATCAAAGAACTCAAGGATGTGGGCTCACAGGCAAACAACCTCCTCATGACCTCCATATATTTGCCTATTCAGCATCCAGAACCCGGCCTGCTCAGTCCTAAACAGGGTTATTCGGATCAATAAACCCCAAGCTCAAACTACTAATGATGTCTGCTAGAAAAGAGGGTAGGAAGGAGAAATATAAGTCTGAGGAGGGTTAGATGTCTAGAAGACTTATTGAAAGGAGAGAATTGCCTGTTAAAGGGATAGTTTAGCTAAAAATGCACATTCTGTCATCATTTACTCATCAACATGGTGTATAAACCCATATGACTTTATTTCTTTTGTGGAATGCTAAAGCAGATATTTAGCATAATGTTCATGCTGCTCTTTTAAATAAAATGAAAGTGAATTGGGATGGATGCTCATTCTCCAGAAATTAAATATGAGATGTTATTTGCCAGATTCTTAATGTAGCTTTCTTGTTATTGTGGCAACTTCATTTTTGCTTTTGCTAAAATAATTACTTGCTGTAAATATGACTTAGGACATTAAATATATGGCACAAGTCAAAGTACTTTTAATGATCCTTTATGGTCCTTTTTTCTGTTTTGGAGTTTGACAGACCCTGGTCTCCATCCACTTTCATTGAATGGAAAAGAACAGCTTGAACATTCTTCAAAACATCTCTTTCTATGTTCCACCGAAAAAAGAACGTCATATGGTTTTTTCAACATGAGGTTGAATAAGTGATGACAGACGTTTTGCGTGAACAATCCCTTTAAGTAGGATGTTACTGATCCACAGACAAACACCGCCACCCAAATACAGCATTCTTTGTGTTTCTTGCAAATCCTCAAACACTGAAACACATTTTCCTGATCCCCATATGTTCTTTAGTCTGGTACACAAACAGATCACTTCTGATAATGAGGAAGCATGGCATGACATGCAAGCTAGATTTTATCAAAGACCGCTGGAGCAGATTTGATAGCGTTAGTCTCAAAGAAAGGAGCAGCCTTGCCATCCTAGTGTGAGACCAAGATAAGCTTCGTCTAATCTGGCTTTCTCAACTAAGAGGATTTGACAGCCTTGAGGCTATAGACTGAGAACTAAACCCTTACGGTACAAAAAAACCCGTAAAAAGTTTATTATTACACAACATGAAACTGGATTAGGTCACAAAGGTTTTGCCAAAACCAAAGTCACGAAAACTTGTTTTTGTCTCCCGCAGAACACCCTGAATGCTTATCCCTGTGGCTCGGACCACACCCCGAGTCCAATGGCGAGCCGGGAGCCGGTTGAAGCTAAAGCCGTATTGGACAGCCCAGCCGCCCGTCTCACTGCTGTCGCCGTCAGTGTAAAGGAGGGGCACACTATTGTTTTCTTGGGTGACTCCAAAGGCAATTTGCATAAGGTATGTGACATGAAAATTAGCCGTTTGACTGGTCATTTCTAAAACAATTTATTTATGATTTATAGTAAACCACTAGGGAAATATTTGTCCACTTAATATGGTAATATTATCCGTCTACTTCAGCAGATGGAAAGAGATTTCGCCTGCAGGGTGAATGTGTCATATCCCAACATAGTGCTGAAACAGCATACCTAAGGCTTTCTGTGTTTCCTCAGTCGGACCGCAGAGCAGACTTCACCACAAACCACGCTATATGAAACACTGTATTTGCAGGGATAGTGATTGCTCAGAGACCACCGGAGACTCAGTTTGACACCGCTTGTAAATTCAAGGGGCTCGTGAGCTGAAATTTAAACACAGGCCAAGTTGCGTCTAGGACTTGCACTGACTGGATTTGCATGCCACAGTGGGCAAAGGTTAAACCGTAGTATTTGGTTAAATCTGAACGACATTGCCCGACCCAAGCCTCCCTTTGACAGCCATCCACTGTTCTCTGCTGTTTTGACACATTTTGGCAAGTCAGTGTCATTGTTCACAAGCATGTGTGACATTTTTACAGTGGAAGACAAGTTTTGCATTTAGGCAACATTTTTGAATAGGCGTCATCACAATATTTAATATTTATTAAATTAATAATTTTAATATTTAAGGTTTTAAAGTTTGGCTATTTAATATATTTAGTTTTATTAAATTTAATTATATATCAACAACAGAAATGGGATGTATTGTGTATTATGTAAATAGAAAGTGTATTTTATATAAATATATGTAGGCAGGGAGAATTTAAATATGAAAA